GGAGGGGCCGCGGGACGCGCGTGTGCCGGGAGGCGGCTCCGTGCCCGCCTGGGCTCCGTCTTTGGCACCTGAGAGTGGGGCTTGGTGCTCGGGGCTGACGGTGCCACACAGAGGTGGGCGCAGATCCCGCCTGGGCCCCGTTTTGCCCTTGGGGAAATCAAGGCAGGAAGGATTTTTCCAAGTCCTTTTGCCAAAGCAGGGGAAAAGCTGCAAATAGAAGACAGATCCCGTTATTCTCCGTCCAGTGCTTGACTAAGTAAATCCCACTGGCAGGCAGAACTGTCCGTATGGACACGCACAGAGCCACTCTACAGCGGGGAGTGGAGAGGCGAGTGGAGTTGGAGCAGGGCACGGCGCTGCTCCGGCCTTCCTTCTCACGGCTGCAAGCGGCCAGAGAGCCCAGCAAGCCCAGATCTCCCCTCCCCATCTCTTCATGCAGGGATGATGGCCTTAAAGTTTGTCTTGGTGTGTTTACTTTACATGATATGGTGCAACTGTCAGGGTACACAAGTGATAGGGAATCTGTGTGCTGAAACCAAAGGGGACCATATGTAGCATGATTCAGAAGGAAAGCGAGATACGTGCATAGAAACATGGAATCAAAATGTTTCTAGTATCGCGGCGTAAGTTTGGGAAGGAAGACTGAATCTTGATGTCCGTTTTAATTAAAGACACCCACCTTGGGAATCAAACTTATATTTTCACTCTCTTACTCCCACATTTACCTGTCTACAAGCTAGTGATTCATCCCCAGAATAAAGGACATTAATTTAAAACAAAACATATAATTAAAGGAAGTAGGAGTGTCCTTCACCTCAGTAAAGAAGACCTAGCACTGCAGGGAAAATGACACTGCCTCTTAGAATAATGTGAAGCAATCCTGCGGTGTGGGAAATATTGTAACGTTAAGCCAGAGGAACAGGTATTGCATTATACGATTCAAACAGTCAACTGTTCATAATGTTCAAACCTCAGAACTTTGAAAAGAGGAAGAATTCAAGAATCAGTCGGTGGATCATCGGACTTTTTCTTTCTTTTATTTTTTTTTCATTTGCTTTTTCTTTTCACATTTTAAAAGGATTTTTTCTTTCCATAACAAAAGTACCCTAACAGGTTTTCAGGCTTCAAATATTTCTAGTTCCATCTTTATCTACCAAGTTAATCTTTGGTGAATGCACCAGAGATTAAATTGGAGCTGGGCCTGGCCAGAGAGCTGGGTCTGGAGGTTGTAGTTGGAGCCCATACCTTCATAAATACAAACATCTGTATTGGGTGCAAATACTGGCAAGTTGCAGTGAGCCGGGGCTTGTTCTTCTGGCTGTTTACTCCCTCATTCTGCGTCTTTATCCTGCATTCTGATCTGGCAGTTACATCCAGCGGCTGCCCTAACTGGCCCTTGCAACTGAACTCTTGAAAATAGGTCTCACGTGCTTCCTACCTCCAAAACGTCTCAGGGACCCACAAGCAGAAGGTCTCCTGCTGTGGTGGCTTGCTGAAATGCACGGCTGGTCTTTCTTGGCATTACCCTGACAGGCCTCCAGCTTGCCATAGCCGTTGGCTGCAACTGAATGCTAAAACCGGTTGGTAAATTTCCTGGGCAATTTTTCAAGATATTTTTGGAGATCTAAATTTGCCCTCTTCAAATTTCTGCCCTATTCTCTGCCGCTCTGCAGCAGAAAGTTTTACTCTGCCCGGGCTGATCTTCCCTAACAAAATAAAACGTCTATGCAACTGTCATGTGAAAGAGATTATATCAGGGATGGTGTGGCCCACACCTCCTTTCCAGGCCAGTGCTGAGTAATCCTGTAGTCACCGAGATCACACGTCAGCCAGGGTGGTAATTGAGGTTGGATGCCCAGCTTGTCCCCTCCTTCCCTTCTCCCCCCTCACCTCCCTGCTCTACCTGGATCTCTTTAAACTTCCTCCAGCTCACCTCAAATCCCAACATCCACTCTCAAGGAGCCGACGTCCGTTCTCACCTTCTCATGGGAATCTTGTTGGCGGGACTAACCACTTATCCAAAACCCGGCTTGCATTCAGCAAGCAGGTTTTGAGCTAACTCTGGTCTCTTTTAAATTGTTTCAGCACTTGTCATAACAAATGCATGGCCAGAAATGGGGTTTTTGAAATGGGAGCAGGTGCAGAGCAAGGCTCGCACCACAGAGGATTGGGTGGAGGTCTGGGCACACCGAGCTCTGTGCCTGCAAGTGCTATGGCTTGGCCCGGACAGATGTGCAGAGGCTGCTAATAATCATCCTGGAAAACCTCCTCAGAGAGATGCTTTAGATAGGAAAAGAGATGCAGACATTCCTGGTGAAGGGATCTGGGCACTGGTCTCACTCTGTGAAAGACCTGAGGGCAGCAGCCCTTTCACAGCACATCTCCCCACAGAGCAATTTTCGGCAGAAAGGCAGCACTTCTGTGAAAAGCACCTTCTTTCTAGTGATTTCATTTCTATTTTTCAGAACTAGCTAGCTGAGGAAGGAGATAGCATAACTCACAAATTACTTAGTATGAACATCAAAATTTTTGAGCAGAAAAAAGAAATTCTCAGGCAATAGAATCCAGATTCCTCTACATTCATGTGTGAAACAGTATAGATACTGGGAGGGTAAGAGAATGGTACTAGAACGGTGAAAGGGTGGAGGGAAGAATCTCATCCTCACTGCTCATTTCTGTCACGAATTAAATTCTCCTCTCCAGTTTCCCTTTTGTACTGCAGAAGCCACAACTTTCCAGCTCCAGGCTCAAACCTACAAAAAAGCATTGTGGAGGCATTTTCTTCCTGGAAATTGTCTTATTTTCCAGGATTTCTTGCAAGTTCTCCAGTTTATGTGCTCCAGGTCTACAGCAGCTCTCCCTTGAAGGACACCAGCTTTGGGGAGATGCTGTTAGTTTAATAGTGACAGCTCAAACACTAAAGTGTTTGTAAGAAGGTCTATGGACTGAAGATCATACTCTAGAAAAAGGCTGTCTGTAATTTCTGATGCTTCTTGCTGCCGACTTGTCTCATGTATTACTTGCTCTGCAGTAGCTCTCGGCAGATCAGTAAGATCAGAGCCGCATCGCGCTAAGCCCTGTGTGAACACAGCTGCTCACCGGTAGACCTGCAGTCTAAAACAACATAGAGGGGCAGAAGAGGGGCAAAGAGGAAAGAAGTTGCATCAACGAACAAGATGCAAGTAGGTGGAGGTAGTATGTTGCAGGTGAGCTGAAGAGGAGAATGCGGGGGGTTCCAGAGCAGAGCAGTATCCATGCAAGCGGGCAGGCTGGGAGAGCGCACAGAGGTGGTGTGGGATGGTCTCTGGGGGGTAGGAGGGGGCCTTGCCTGAAAGACTGACTTAAGAGGAGCAATGTTGCAATAAAGGCTGCAAAATAGAGAAGTAAAATTGAAATTTATTTCTGAGCATGTTGTGTGCTCTGTTTTTTCTTCTTCCTAGCCCCAGGTCCCTCTTTATACAGCCGCACACCTTACACCAACAACAGCTCATAAGTTGTACCTGGCAGAGGCCAGGTTTCGATCTATTGCTTTGCACTTGCCTTCCTTCTTTGTTAAAAAAAACAGCACTTATGAAATGTCAGACAGGGACAGTGTCTCAACTCGGAGAGAGGTTGGCTCTCCTTCCGTCTCCCCCCAGCTCATAGACCAGGCTCGAGACTTTGCCTCATTTTAACATAAAAAACGATTGCCACATGCTTCCCTCTCTTCTGAAACCGCAGCTGCGATGCTCTGCCTTGCAGTCCCCAGTGGCAGGGAGCTCCCCAGGCGGTTGCAGGCCATGTCTCCTGGCCTCCTTCGGTTCTTTTGTTACAGACCAGAGTCCTCCCCCTCCCTAAGGGCTCCCTCACCCCTTGTTCCCATGTGACATGGTGATGCTTGGTATTTGTTGGTCTTCTGCTGATTTTTCTGCTCACCTCTGACCTAGCATGCTTGGCCTTTGCAGCGCTGGGTTGCTCAATCCCCGCTTTATCTCCATGTTGCTCTTTGCCCTACCGAGTGCTGCAGAGACGACACCTGGAGATTGGCACCGCTACCTCCAGCCGGTGGGACAACATGAGCGAAATACCTTCCCCTACCAGACTGAAAATTTTCCAGAGCAAACTGGAGGTCAGAGCACCCACTCCGGGGCTCAGCAAAAGAAAGAAAAGGAGGGAGAGCCAGAGTGCACACAAGCGCCCGTGGAAGGGAGCAGTTACAAAATAGAAGGTCCATCCTCCAGTCCTGTGTTGCAGAGACAGTCCATGCTGAAGCCATTTGTCTGGCCAGAGGTGGGCTGCCTTTCTGAGCAGGGACAGTAAGAGGTGGCTTTCTATTTTATGAGTAGCCTGCTTCCTTGCATTCCAAAAAAAAAGTCAGAGAAGTTACTGTCCACTAACTTCCCAGAAGTTCTCCATAGTTGTCTGACATTTCCTAGGTAATCGTAGTCTCCTACTTTGATGAATTTCTTACAGATCACGTATTAATGTTTTGTTCTAGTGTGTCCAAGCTTTAGAAAGATCCAACAAGGGAACATGAATCCTATGCTTCCCTGATACCCTGCCAAGTGTCAGAAGTCCCTGGTAACAGGACTTGATAATTCATTTAGACATTTAGGAAATGTCTAAGAGGAGAGATCTATTCAGAGGTCGTGAGGCTGCAGGCCAGGTAGCTGGAATTCCATGGTGCACATTGCCAGGGGCAACATAAACTGAGGGAAGTCTTAGAGAGGGTGGCAGGAGAGTGGGCTTAAGTGAAGAATTAAAAGATTTTTCTTCACTAAAAGCATGAAAGATCTGTGTCCTAGACTGTACAAACACTTTTTTTTTTTTATCTGTCCTCATCTTGTGTTGAGCACCACGGGGAAAGTGGGGCTGCCAGGGAATCAGTTAGGACTTGTTGGTTGCAAGTACTGGCACCCAAGAACAGCCCCTGGGGTGGTCTGTGTCATCTGGCAACTGGCCTTGGTGGACTGGGTACCAGGTGGGGATAGCCACAGTGTACCGTCCTCCGCATACCTCGCTTCTTGGTCCCTGTCATCTCCCTATCTTTGCATTTATGGCTTTGGATGGGAGCCGTAGGAGTGGCTATTCCAGCTCTCCCACCCACTGACAGTTTCCCATGCCAGAGAGAGTCCAGCAAGGGAGCTGCAGCCAGTTTCTGCTCCCTTCGTGCCTCGTGGCTCAGGAAGAGAGCAGAATTGCGTAAGTGAGGGGAGCAGGGGAGAGAAAGGAGTCTGGAGGCTGCTCTGCACTGGTGAGCCAACCCTGGTGGGCAGCTCTCTGGTGCGGGGGCGTAAGGGGAAGCGTACAGACAACTGGCGATGTCCTACTGGTGTGAGTTCACGGGGTGGAAGAGTAGCCGGGACTGTGACAGCTGAAACCCCTGTCACCATTTAACGCCACTGGGGAGGGCCGGGCTGCCTTCTGTCCCCGCTGCTCTGGAACACGCCGCTGGGGCTGCAGCGGTTGGGAGCAGGGGGCCGGTAAAGGGCCTGGTGATGTGTTTTACGGGGACCGTACGAAGCCCGGTCGTTTGGGTGGTGGCTGCAGTAACTCACCGGCGAGCCGGC